GCCTACCCGGGGGGGGGGGGGGGGGGAGGTCTGCCCCGCTTCGCTTTCCGGCCGAAGAGCCCAAAAAGCCGAACCCCACCCCTCGGAGACTCCGGGGTCAGCGGACGCTGGACTTCAGGCCGGGTCAGTTGGGGCCCCCTCCCCCCGGGCGGGGAAGCGCCGGGCGAGTCCGTCTCTGCGGAGAGCAATTCCCTGCGCGGAGCGAAGTGGGGGGAGGGGTCTCTTATAAAGGTGCGCGGAGACCTTCCCCCCCGCACCGGGGGCAATGCGGCGTTGGCTCCCTTGGGTGTCCCTGTTCGCAGCGTTGGGAGGTATTTCGGCGCACCGGAGCAGTGCGCACCGCCCGGGCAATGGCACAGTCCCGCTCTCTGACCCGGGATCGCTTTCTGTCTCCCGCAGGGGCCCGGGCCCAGGAGCGGCTGGAGGAGTCCGGAGGGGGCGTGACGAAGGCCGGAGACTCTTTGCGCCTCTCCTGCAAAGCCTCCGGCTTCAGCTTCAGTGACGGATACATGTATTGGTCCCGCGGCCCGAGTGGGTGGCTACGGTCAGCCAGCCCAGCGGATCCAAGCAGTGGTATTCCGAGGCTGTCGAAGGGCGATTCACCATCTCCCGGGACAATCCCCGCAACACGACGCATTTACAAACGAGCGGCCTGAGACCCGAGGACAGCGCCGTGTATTCCTGCGCCAGGCGCACAGCGCGGGAATCGACTCTGCGCTCGGACAGAAACCTCCCCCTGCAGGGGGCGGGGCGGGATTCCCTGGGGGCGGCGCTCGCGCCCCCCCCGCGCCCCGCCCCAGGGCCCTGTGCGCAGCGGGAGCAGGGCGTGGAGACGGGGGCGGGGAGGCGGCTTCGTTTCCCTTTCACCCTCCCTCCAGACGCGTCTCGGGGGTCGCAAGAGGCAGAATCGCATCGGTCCGCGCAGGGAAGGGCTGAACCCTCCGGCTCTGCCACCGACTCCTCCCTCCTGTGCCGCTCGGCCAGCCATGGCGGGCTCGCGGCGGGGCGGGCCGCCGCCGCGCGCCCGG